TTTATCCCATTCTGTATATACATACACACAGTCACGTGTTCTTTTGTTTCAGGGTAATATATGTAACTTTTATCCCACTCTGTATATACATACACACAGTCACATGTTCTTTTGTTTCAGGGTAATATATATAACTTTTATCCCACTCTGTATATACATACACACAGTCACATGTTCTTTTGTTTCAGGGTAATATATATAACTTTTATCCCACTCTGTATATACATACACATAGTCACATGTTCTTTTGTTTCAGGGTAATATATATAACTTTTATCCCACTCTGTATATACATACACATAGTCACGTGTTCTTTTGTTTCAGGGTAATATATGTAACTTTTATCCCACTCTGTATATACATACACATAGTCACGTGTTCTTTTGTTTCAGGGTAATATATATATAACTTTTATCCCACTCTGTATATACATATACAAAGTCACGTGATCTTTTACCTAAAGGCAGATGATTATTTTATTTGACTCTCTCACATTGTTCCCAAACCTTCAACATTAAAAACAAATTGTAGGTTTTGGTTTTGTTTATTTGCAAGTGTAAACAATATCAATGGAACGAAATCGCGGTTTTATTTCAGCCTCCAGAAGAAAAAAAAAAGTTAAGTTTTTTTCACACGCTATATTTGCTGCGTCAAATATCAAAGTGGAGCCTCTGTTATTCTATACTTGTAGTGGGAAATAACATGTTAACTAGACTACAGATGTCGTTAACTGGCAGATGGGTAAGTAACCCGCGTCTGGCAGATGTCAGCTGAGAAAATCGCGTATCATCTTGCTACGTTTAACGAGATTTCACGACACCGAGTTGAGATCGGTAACCGTGTGAACGTTACGTCAACGTTTTTAACTGCCGGTGCTTCTAATGAGCTTGAGGAGCCCGTACGCGAGTCTGCATTTACTGTGCATTATAACTGATACTTAGGTTTACAGCTTTGTTTAAAGATAACAGTTTCTCTTCGATTTTACATTTTGACTGGTTACACGTAATGTTTTCGTCTTCTGTTTCATAAACCAGCGTTTCTCAAACGTTTCGGTACCAGGGACCGGCTTGATGTCTTCCTAAGCTGTCGAGGTACAGCGAAAAGAACTATTACGAATATTATGTAAATATTCTGTCAGTTTGTTTATTTTTGTGAAATCTCACGATCCGGAAAGGTGATCGTGACGGACTGGTGTTTGAGACTGTTTTTTCACTGATAGCCTGTCAACAACAATAACGACCTCTATCGGCAGAATGAGTCTGGCTCTAGATATCAGTGTTACATACACTAACTCGGCTGTGGCATATTTGTAAAGTATCCTCTAATCTCATTTCCAGTCGAGTCAACTTTTAGAAAAACTTTCACGACAGAAATTGTCGTTTTTGTTTGGGCGCGAAAAATTCAGCCGAAACCACCCCCTCCAGCAAGGAAAAAAAAAAAAAAATACAGAAACCTTACAACCCGGACCATTCTTCATCGGGGAACGAAACGAAAGGCATCGTGAACGTTTATGTTACAATGTGACGGTCAATCCCACTATTCGTTGGTAAAAGAGTAGCCCAAGAGTTGGCGGTGGGTGGTGATGACTAGCTGCCTTCCCTCTAGTCTTACACTGCTAAATTAGGGACGGCTAGCGCAAATAGCCCTCGTGTAGCTTTGCGCGAAATTCAAACAACAAACAAAGAAACCAATGTTACTTGAAAACTGCCCCCACGGCTGAAAGGGCGAGCATGTTTGGTGTGACGGGGATTCGAACCCGCGACCCGCAGATTGCGAGTCGAGTGCCCTAACCACCTGGTCATGCCGGGCCCTCTAAAATGCAACTCAGACTTTGATGCACGTATTAAGTTTTGTTTTAAAACCATGCCTAGTATTTCCGAGAAGAAGCTCACCTAAATTCTCAACAGGTGAATTTCATGACAAGAGGGTTATATTCCTCTGGTGGGAGGTCAACCACTCTTCACACCACCACTCTTCGTGAGAAAATATCTAACTGCACGTTACAAGAAGTTACTTAATCAATAAAAGACTAACTTAGTATAAAGATCAGTATTAAAAAGTTATGGTAGCAGTTAGAATTAAAACTGGCTATCACAAGAAAAACAATTGTTCTAAATAATAAGTTGCTTAATGAAGTTCTTAAGTGACATTGAATACTTTGATAAAACCAGATACTGATCTATACAGCTAATAAAGCTTTCTTTGGTTTCAGTTTGAACAATCCAATTTACTATTACCAAGATTAGCTATTGGTGTGACGCGCATATAGACAAATAGAGAGACAGAGTTCGTTAATAAG